ATTATAGGAATCATTTATTAAAAGAAGTTAAGCTGTACAAAAACTATGTAAAATATACTCTGTATTTTCTCTTCTTTCTTGTTGCATTTAATCAGAAATATAGCCCAGTTGAACAGAAATACATGATAGCACAGAAAAATAAAATCTTATAAGAACTCTTAACCAGAGGAATTTGTGAGAGCCACACCTTGGAGCTGGGAAAATATTTTAGGAAAGCCTATGAGAAGAGGGATGAAAAGAAATATTCCCTAATTCTGTGAAGCAGCTGACGCAAACTCAGCTACTCCAAATCAACACAAAAGTTTGTGTTGGCTTACAGCGTGTGGCAATTTCACTCCAGTGAGTTGACTCTAAGTCAGTGAAGCATCACAGACATACATGGTGGAAGAGAAAGAGCTCATAGCATGGCAGCAGGAAGCAGAGATGGATCAAGGGCAGAATGAGGGAGACATACTCTTCCAGGCTATACCCCAGTGATCCACTTCTTCCCATTATCATATTTAGTGCTGAACCCATCAATTGACCAAGCTAGTGATAAGTATCATTCCCCCGTGTTCCAATACCTCCCCCAAACCCCACCTAAATTTACATGGGGATTTGGCAGAAAATTGAGATATGAACCATAACATTCCACCTACAGCCCCCAAAGACTCATGTACATCTCTGTGCGAAATGAATGTAGTCCATATCTAAGATTTTCTGAAGTCCTAACAGTTTCAGCACTACTGAAAATTCTGAATCCAAAGTATTCTCCAAGGTTTAAGGGAAGCTCTTAACCGTAAGCTCCTATAATGATGAAAGGAAAGTTAAATATTGCCAATATACAATGGCACAGTGAAAATTTCCTTTCCAAAAGGGAGAACAGGGAGGATAGAAAGAAATTGGACCAAAGCAAGACTAAACTGAAACACAGCAAATACTAAGTTCTGCAGTTTCATGTTCAGCACTCAGGCAAACTGTACTGAGATAGGAAATCCAAATGGCTTGGGCAACATTACCCTTACAACCCTCTTCATGGCTGTAGACACCATAGCCTAACTTTTGGACCAGCTTTTCTCTCTTTTTTCTTTGCTGCATTATAGGGAAGGGTCTATTGGGTGTTCAGGGTCTCACTACTAGATCAGACTCATAGTGATTCTCCTGTTTACAGCCTCCCAAGTGCTGGGATTACAGGCATGTGCCACCATACCCAGTCTCAATTGCTGTCTCAGGGGGCCCTGGGGGTGGGGCCGGCACAACATGGACCAGTTTTCTCACTTCTTGAGATTTCTTCAGACATTCCACATTGTTCATTTCTCTAACCTTCTGGAGTTTCCACTGTACTTTTGCCTTTCCAGCCCCAAATATTTAAACATTTTAAATAATTTATATATTAAAACTTGTAAGATATTGTGTTTAAATCTTGAATAACTTAAACATGCTGTTCTAAAGGTGAAGCATGCTCTTTTCTGTAAAACTCAAAAAAAAAAAAAGTCTAGAAGGCAATGTAATTTGGAGACTGGGTCAAAGGCATGCTCTGTGGCTAGAACTTACTCAAACTAAAATGAGCCCTTTAACAAATGTTAAAAGGGTTTAAAGAGACAGCTTAAAAAATTCCGTGGAGAATTTCAGAAAAAATAGAAAAGACTGGCCAAGAAGTACACAGAACAGAGACATGCGCAGAGTCAACAAGAAAGAGCAGGGTGCGGAGCTGACCCAGTACTATGTGATCTAGGTTGATTTTCTAGTTCCAGCCCAAGAGTAGATATCTACTAACTGTTGAATGATTGAAGAAGGGACAAAAACCCAGTTTTCTCCTACCTGTTTAAGAAGCACAGAACTTTAATAGCATGAGAAGTGCCTGTTTTTCAGATGTAAGCTGGTGTAAAGGAATCCCAGTGATGCCTCCCTCAGGGAGCTTAGAGATAACAGCACAGCCTGAGGCCCACAGGATCTACGGAAGGAGCTTTGAACCCAGGCTTGCTGGGCTCCGCTGGGCTCCGCTGGGCTGGCTGCAGGCTCGCTGTTTCCCAAGGCCCCTGGCTTCCCACAGTGGACACATTCTTCTGTCCTTCCAGTTCCTGACTCCATGACCTTGATGGGTAAAAGGAGTTGTCACCTGGCCAGTGAGGATAAATCTCAAATGCTAATCAAATTGTTCCTTCCGTGGAGGAGGACATAATTTATCACCTAGAGCTCTAATAGGCTGAGCAGATTCTGTTCTTAAATTGAGGTCATATTAATTTTGCAATTAAAAGTGACTAGAATTATGACCAAACGTGAAACTGGTTCCAATAGCCTTTTGACTGGATTGTTATTTATGTATGTGAGCAACAACAGAATTTCAGGTGTAAGTAAGAGATAAAAATAAGAAAAGATTCAGAGCTGGCTGAAGATATGGAAAAATTCAAACTTTTGTGAAAAAAACCACCCAAGAGCTAATTCATCTTACAAAGTACAATCTCTGAAATCCAGTAAGCATCCAGGAATCCCACAAATTCTGAAGCGCTTGGGGTGGATCCCCTTGGCTGCCAGGAGGCCTCCTCAAGCATGTGCAAAGCCAGCTGTCGAGGTTCCGTGGCTATGCACTGTGCCCTGATGCTGCCACTCACCACAGAGGCAAGTAGGAGAGTGTGGCAGGAGCAGCCCAAGCCTCTGCTGTGGAACTAAAACACAGCACTAACAGCCCCATCCAGGCCGCCACTGGCTTTGCATTGGTTCCAGGCCACCCTTCCAAAGAGTCCTCAGTCTTTACGCTGACCCTCAACAGTCCATTCTTCCCGCAGTGGCCCAAGCAAACTTGAAGAAATTGTCCATTAGATCATGCTCCTCGCTGCATTCCTCTCAACAAACCCCTTCCTACCTTCCCATCACCACGCTAATCAGATCCAGCCTCCATGCTGTAACCTGCGAAGCCCAGCGTATTTCACTCCTGCCTCCGTCTCCATCACCTGCCGAGCTCGCTCCCACCACTGTTTCCCAGTCATCCAGATTCTGTCAGTTCCTAGGAGGTGCCGCAGTCTGTCCTGTTCTGCAGCCCTTGCACCTGGGTTTCCCCCTGCCTGGCTTTTGCAAAGCTGTGGGTCATGAGCAAAACCTCAAGTTCACTACCTAAAACTGCAAAAGCATCTCTCCATGCCTGTCATGTTATTCTGTACCAGAGCATCCTACGCTTTACCTCTTTCATAACAATAGGATTCTGAGTTCTTTTGTATATTTATCATCTGATCCCCCATGAGAAAAAAAGCTTCTAAGGACAGGAATCTTTTTTTTTTTGAGGGGACCAGTTTTCAAACTCAGGACCCTGAGCTTGCCAGGCAAGCACTTATTCTACTGAGCTATCTCCCTGGCCCCAAGGACAGGAGTCTTATCATTCAACTCAGTGTCCCAAGTACTTAAAACAGAGACTACTTTTTTTTTTTTCAGTAAGCACATATTTGTAGCACAGGATGATCACGCTCATTTCAGGGAGTCGGTACATGGATCTAGCACATTGGAGTGCTTTTTTCATCCCTTTCCCTGTCCCTTCCTCCACCTCTTGATTCCTTTCTATTTTACAAAAGCTCTATTTCCTTGCTCTTTATTATCTATCTTTAATTCATTTATATTTTGAGTTTCTTAAATAAGAGAAACCACGTGATATTCAAGCTTGTGCGTCTAATTTCACTTGACATGTTTTCAAAGGGCATCCCTTTTCCTGTGGATGACCCACACTTACCTTTACACATAATCGTACTCCATTGTGTATTATACCACATTGCCTTTATCAGCTTGTCAGTTGATGGTCATGTAGGCCACTTCAAAGACTTGGCTATTATAAGTTGTGTTGGCATGAACATGGGTATGCACGTGTCACTGTAGTGTGATGTCTTTAATTCTTTTGGGAAGCTACCCAGAAGGGGAATAGCTAGACCAGGTGGCATTTGTATTACTAAGTTTTCAATAAATATTTGTGAATCAATGAACATTTAGGGGGCAAGTTTTGGCAGACCCATACACAAATTATGAAGGATAAATGTGTATCAGGGAGCTGATGAGTTTATATGGAAAACATCATGTAAGATGCATCTGTAAAATACTTGAAAACTAGTGCTGAAAATTTTTTTGTGTGCACAGCACAGGGGACTGAACCCAGGGAGGCTCTACCACCAAGTGGCATCACAGCCGTTTTTAATGTTTTTTTGGGGGGGATGTCGATTATTAACAGTAAACAAGGCTGCACATTTATCATTATCTAAGCTTCACTTGGTTCTACTTGGTTGCTATCTGATCATCCGTTCTTTCCTGCTGCCCTTTTTTTTAAAACCATAATCCTTAATAACTTGATTACAAAGATAGGAACAGAGAGAGAGAGAGAGAGAGAGAGAGAGAGAGAGAGGCAGACAGACAGAGACAGAGAGGCAGAGAGAGAGACAGAGACAGATTTACAAAGAGTGATACACAGAGACAAAATATATGAGAATAAAGGGGGAAATATTTTTACAGAAATAGTAACTGTAAGGTAAGTGGTGATGCGAGCCCCACAGCATTGTAAATACTGTGAATGCCTCCTGGGTGCCGGTGAAGTGGCTGCGGAGCTCAGCAGCACCAGGTGAGCGCTCAAGCAGCATCCCGCTGCCAGTGCGAGGCAGCAAGGGAAGCCCAGTCGCAGCTGGTAGCGGTGGGCAGACAACCCATTGCTCTAACTTGGCTTTCCACCTATGCGACACTCTAGAGCTTGATTAAAACAGGTCGTAAAGATTACTCACCGTGTTTACCAGCTGGGGAAGGAAAACAAAGGAGACTGATTTATTATTCGGTAGGAAAACAGAATTCTGTTCCGAGAGAACACGTGGGGTGACACACAGCATCGATCGGCAGCCTGAAGCTGGCGGAGGCAGACCTCCTCCCGGGAGGGGCTGACGGGGGAGGCCCGCTGCGTTTGGGATCTTCGAAGGTCCACCATCTCTCTACCTTTGCTGCATGCACATATCGATAGTTGTTGGTTACACAAATCCATCAGAGTTGTCAATTATATACACACCTGCATGTCTATATGTACACAGTATAAGCCCAGGTGAGTTATCACTTATCTAAAATGCATGGAATTAGAGGTGCTTTTTACTTTGGATTTTTTCAGTTTGGAATTTTTTCATATACACAATGAAGTATCTTAGGGTTGAACCCAAGTCTAGCACATAATACGTGGTTTGTTTACTTATATATCTCATCATACAACCTGAAGGTAATATTTATTTGTTTATTTTTATATATTTGGTATAGGGTCTCACTACACAGCTTGGACTTGTGGTGATCCTCGTGTTTTCAGCCTCCCCAGTGCTGAGGTTACTGGCATGTACCATCACTCGGGGTCTCGGTGGCTGGTTCAGCATGCCTGGGGGCAGGGCCGGCACAGTCTGTGGTGCCAGGGATCAAGCCCCAGTCCCTGTGCTTGCCTAAGCAGGTGCTTAGTCCACTGAGCTGTCTTGCTGGCCCCCGAAGGCAGTCACGTGAGATCAGATGTGGGCTCTTTCCCTTGTGCCATCACATCATACTCAAAAAGTTTCCAAGTTTGGAGCATTGCCGGCTTCAAATTTGGGTTGCTTGACCCGCATGTGTGCATACTTACATTTTATATAAGATCAGAGGTGGATTTAGTCTGAAGTAAATCAGCATTAGCTTTTAACCTGCATTCTCCAATATAGCAGCCACAAGCTATAGGTCCTTACTTAAATTTTAAATCAAGAAAATTAAACGAAATGAAATATTCAGCTTTTGGGTCACACTACTCACGTGGCTGGTGGCTCCTCCCCTAGGCAGCATGAGGACACCTCCATGCCTGTAGGATACTTTCCTCAGCAGCACAGCTGCCCGTGTTGTTCAAGCCAGCCATGTGCTTTCACATGTAAGTTATGGCTTATTTCCTTCCTTGTACTAACTCTAGAAGTAACTTTGTACCACTTTGAGATTATAATTTTGCACTTAATCCTTCAAACTTTTTTTTTGGGGGGGTGCGGGTGCCTCAGCCCACCCTGGGGGCGGAGAAGGCGCAGCATGTAGGATCAGGAATCCAACTGCGGTCCGTGCGCTTGCCCAAGCTTGCCTAAAGCAGGTGCTTTAGATCCCTGAGCTGCCTCGGCGGCCCATGAATCCTTGAAACTGTAAAAGAGCAGTACTGATGTGAGTCTGCCTGGCACTCATTATAGTTCACAGGGCGGAAGACCTGTGCGAATTCAGGGGCAGAACCGCCAAGGTTCATGGCCCAGGCTCTCACCTTCAGCCCTACGATGTTTGGATTCTGCTCCGAACAAGCAGTATTCTGAGCGACACTGCTTTTGGAGCTTTTACAAATCCATGCCTTTGAGAACACATGTGCATGACAGAAGCAGGCTCAGAATCTGTTTTTCTCCTTCAAAATACCTTGGGGAAATTTTAACTCTTCCTTTCAGCCCTAATTTTTATTTGGGAAATAAATACATGCGTAAATGAACATCTGACATGATGAAAACTCAGTTTATAATCTTGTGCGTGGGCTTGTCTAATGGTATCATCACATATTATGAAAGAGGAGGCTGTCATACGGATCTTAAATTCCAGTGAGTTCAGTCCTATCAGCTACCTTAAGGCGTTAATACCTCTTTAAAAGAAGTTCAGTGTGACCCTCGACTGCTTTATTTCATCATCAGGACAGTTTTGACCTGTAGTCTTCATTTTCCTCACGTTAGAAGCACTAGATAGATCACCACTTAGTGCTTCCCAAAGATACTCTGGGAGCTAATAGTCACCAGGCCATGCCAGCTCAGAATTTATGTGGTGACCTCTCTAATTTGAAGGGATTGGCTGGTAAATCACCTCCCTTTGAGAGCAGCCCTCTCTGCTTGCTTTCTAGCAAAGCTGACCATTTGAGGGCTATGTCAAGTCCAGTACTTACGACTGTGGTCCCGCACGTACTGAAGGAGCTCACAGGTCTGCAGTTCAAACATAAAACAGAGAGAGTTAGCCAACAGGCTGCCAGGTCACCAAGTTTAAACATGTTTAACAGAGTGTTCAGAGCGCTAGGCAGGAGTCAGGAGATACTTACAGAAAAGGAAGCCAATCCTTTGGCCCCTTTCACACCCTAGGGAAACAAACAGAAAATATTTTCTGACTTAGACACATAGCAGCAGCCAGAACGGGCACTAACACTGCTCTGAGAAAGTGGAGGCTTTAGAAAGCTTGTATTCTTATTAAGTTAGAGGCAATGGAAGGTCCAGGCAGGATACCCATCGTCTCATTAAGAGTTACACGCCAAGGGCAACACACTGGCGACGGCAGGCTCCACATACACAGGCCCGTGAAGCCACTGCCCTGCAGCTCCTCTCGTGTCCAGGGTCGGAGGAAGGAGCTGACAGCTCCACAGAGGCAAGCGGAGCCCTGGATGCTACAAAGGTCTTCACCCCACACTCTGCCTCCACTGCTGAGCAGCAGCTGCCCTGCCAGACCTGCATGTGCTCCTGCTACTGCTGGAGGACAGAGAGAACGGATGCAAACAACATGTGGAGGGGTTACCCTGCAGAAATAAATGCACATGTCTGTGCTAAGCTGGAGACAGAAGACAGGGGGGCTGGGTTTTATTTTGTGCTCAACCCTATGTTTAGAAAAGGAAGAGTCTAGCTACTGTCAGAGAGATACCCAAGGAAAATTGCAACAGCTCACCCAAACTCGTAAACAGTAAGTTCCACATGAGTGAAACTTTGATTACATTCATGATTTATTAATTTCACTTCCATTCATTTACAGTTACTTACTGAATATAGGAAAGGACAATGAAGGCTAAAGGAGCAAAATTTACGGCTTGAGAAATCTTGCTTTAATCTTAGCTCTCCATTTCTTTCCTCAACCCCCAACCTCACCCGTCTCTCAAGAGATACACTGAGTTGACATGTTTTCCTCTGTTCTCATAGTGCGTGATACAGTGAAAATAGTCACAAAGCAGAAGGCATAAGCATTTGGACAACGAAGGTTTTATGCTTCAGTTTTTTAAATTAGTACATGTGTGCTGCACGTAGGGAATGCATTCTCTGCAGGTGGTTGGGACGTGCACACAACGCATCTTACTATTTTTATTTCTCCCATGCCCTAACATCTCTTGCTCGCCTTCCCATTTACAAAACCTTTTCAAATACAAAAGATCCGGGTATGATCTGTGTCTTCTCCACTCACCTTCCGTCCAGGAGGTCCTGGCTCCCCGGGGGATCCCAGCTCTCCCAGAAGTCCAGCAGATATCTCAAAGTAGAATTTCTTTATTTAAAATCACATCCATACATTCATAAGTACATGTTTAAAATTTAAATTTAAAAGTATTTAAAATTCAAAAATGAAAATTCAGAAGTAAAATTTTCATTTTCATTTTAGAAAATTGAGAGATTTCCAAAACACACAAAGAAGGAAAATGGAGCTGGCCAGAGGCTGGGGGTTTGATCCCCAGGCCTGCCATGCTGGCCTTACCCCCAGGGCATGCTGAGATGGCAATTTAGACTGGGAATGGTTACCCGTGCCTGTAATCCCAGCTCTTGGGAGGCTATAAGCAGGTGGATCACTATGAGTCTGATCTAGTAGTGAGACCCTGAACACCCTGTAGACCCATCCCTAAAATACAGGGGAAAAAAAGGAAAAAAAACAACATCCCCAGTAAGCTGGAGGAAAAAACAACATCCTCAGTAAGCTGTTCTCCAAATTACCCTTGTTAACATTTTGGTCTCTTTAAAAAAATTCTTTTGGTGATGAGATGTATGTTCATTCTTTCTAAGTATTTAGATCATACCTTTTCCTGTTGCCTTTTGAAACCAAAGCTTTATCTCTATGTTTTCATGTTACTAAATATTCTTTTGCAAAATCACTGTTTGTGGCTGCATAGTATTCTATTACACAGGGGGACTGTGATTTATTTAGTCCCTTCGTGTTAGTATTAGGTTTGATACTGTGGTAAACAATGTTATTATAAAATTACATGCACAATTGTGATTACTAAGGAAGATTAGTAGGTCTAGAATTGTTGGGCCAAAGGATAATTTTTATCTAAATAAGACAGAGGTAGCTAAACCAAAAACCAAAAATTTCAAAGCTTCAGAAAATAAAACTAACATGTAAAACACCCTAGGACAACAGAAAATATGCTGGCTGGAAATATTTGTAATGAAGTAAGGGAAACAACAGGCACAGAAGTCATGGTATTCAGCTAACTGCCCGAGAGACTTTTCCATGTGCATTCAGCAATACACTTTATCACAGGCCGAGATAGGATTTAGCTCTTGAATATGAATAATATTCTTTAACTCATTAAAACACCATGGGATTCATTGTCTTTACTGTAATAAAAATGAAGCTGTTTAAAATGAATTTAGTGTGCAAAAGCATTGTTTGTGGACTAGTAATTACTGAGCGCTTTCATGCGTCCCAGTGATACTGACAGCGCACCGGTTTCAGTGAAGAAATGGACCTGCTGATCGCATTTTATTTAAACGATCCTGGTTAACCTCTCCAAGGAAAAATGGTAGGTTCCGTTGCTTGTGTTCCTTTCTAATATCTTACCAAAATGAAACTAGACTTTTTTAAAAAGGCAACTGCAACACTGGTAAGGACAGAGAGGAAGACAATGGCCACATGGTTTGGGAGACTGGAAAGCACATTTGTTGGTGGGAGGTGGCTTGGAGACGTGACAAGGCTGGGTCCTGAGATGGCAGCAGGGAAAGCCCGGAGCCCACGTGTGTGCTATCCCACGTCCCCAGAAGGCTTCAGCAGTGCTGCACACCTACAGCAGTGGGGACGAGGGATGAGCTAACCGAAGAGGCTCAGTTGAGGGTCGCAGCAGGGGTCCCCAGAGGCCACTCCACTTTCAGCGGTGGGCAGAGATGCCTTTTCTCACTGGAGCAATGAACCAAGTTAAAACTGAGCTGAGACACCAGGCAGCACTGAGGCCCAGTGGTACCCAAGCAGGAAGACTGAATAAGGCAACTGGTCTTCCAGTTCTTAACCTGGCCAGGCAGCTCATTCTGACACCAACGAGAGGGCCTAAAGCAGGAAAAATAACCCTTCAGGAAACAAAAATAATCTTCAGAAAGATAAGATATTCTAACCATGAAACAAGAACAGTGTACAACAGAAGAGGCACATGGAGAGCAAAAACAAGCTCTGACAAGAAAAGTATAAGAAAACATAAGAAAAAATTAAGGGAACTTTACAAAAAGTAGAGCAAAAATAAGGAAAGAAGTAAATTCAAGGGCTATCTCAATATACTAAATAATAGATATTTTAAAAATAGGGAAGAGAAAATGGAGAGAAAACAATCATCAAAATATGAAATATTTGTCAGAACTGAAGAATACGTATTTTCAGGCTCAAGAGACCTAGGAGATGCCCAGGAAAATGAATAAAAAGGGACGATACACCAGGCCACAAAAATCATGAAATATCAAAATACTGCAGACAAGGAGATGATCCACTGGGGTTCCAGAGACAGAACACTGGCCATGTTTAAAAAAAAAAAAAAAAGATTAACAATTTGAATGGCACAAGACATCACAAAGCAACAAAAGAAACTAAAAGATTCTGAGGACTTCTTTCCAACCTAGAATTGTTGGAAATTAGCTAAAATATCAATCACATCTGGAAATAGAATTCAAGCTATTTTCAAGTGTTAGCTGTATCAAGGAATAGCCGAGTCATTCAGCGTGTCTTAGCAGGCTACTGAATAAGTTTTCCATGAAATGAAGGCACAAGCCTGGTGTGGTGCCGTCTGCCTGTAATGCCAGCAGCCCAGAGGCTGAGGCAGGAGGATTGCTGTGAGTTTGAGGCCAGCCTGGACTAGTGAGTTCAAGGCGAGCCTGAACTGTATAGCAAAACAGGGAAAGAGGGGAGAGAGGTTGCCATTTTTCAATTTAAGTAGACAGATAAAATGTCATTTAAGCAAAGCAAACTTTGTGAAGTTATGGCTCTGCATGCCTGCCCACCCGCTGAGGACAGGTGGCTACATCTGGAGGCGTCCTCACTTGTCCTGACTAGGAGAGAAAGGCAGATGCCAAGCTGCTGCTGAAAGCCCTGCCATACCCAGAGCAGCCCATCACCGAGGGTGTCCCCTTAATGTGTGTGGGGAACCCAGCAAGAGGAATCCAGCTTCAAACTATGTGAAAAACTGACTATAAAGGGCCGGAGATTTAGCCCAGTGGCGAACTCACAAGGTTGTGAGTTCATTTGCCAGTACCAAAAAAAGAAAAACACAAAAACAAACACATACACAAAATAAAATAGGCTAAAAGTTATGGTGAAATTAGAGAAAAATTTGAGGAACAAAATCCCAGTGAAAATTTAGAGATTTTTTTTTTTTTTCAGAACTCGGAATTGAACTCAGGCCCTTGTGCTTGCCAGGGAAGCGCTTACTCTATTGAGCCATCTTTCCGCCCACCACCCCCAGAGAAACTAAAGTAAGAATTAGAATTATTTCAGGAGATTTAAGGAAACATGATGAATTATAAAGGCCAAGTTTTGCCCCAATATTCCAATACGAACTTCTGTTCTTTCAGTAGAAAAGCTGGAAATATTTAAGAGTAAAGCACCAAAATACTCATATAAAGGTGGAAAAGGCAGCCGGGTAGGTGACACAAGCAAGTTACAAAGAGATGAACAAGGGCAATACAAAGGAAATTCAAACATTCCCAAAGGCTAAGAGATGGTGCTGACATGTTTCCCATTAATTGATTTTTTTTAAATGATTAACGTGCCATTGTAGGGACAGAAGCCAATGAACAGCTGAGTTTGTTAGTTGTCATGGTTCTGCTTGCAAGGTTGGGCTACTTTGTTCAAGGGAAATGTCCCAGAGATATTTCAACGCAGAAGATGGCTAGATTAACTTGAAAGCCTTTCCTAATTATTTTGCTAATTATATCGGTCTTCATCACTTGTTTCTGAGAACACGGTGATCAAGGCCAGCCATCCAAAACCATGTTGGAGAATTAAAGCTGAGAAGCAGTCCCAGCTTGCCAGGAGGAAGTGGGAAAAAGGTATCCTCACTCTGTGATCCTGAAACCTACCAAAGTAAAGTCCATGCATGAAGTTCCTATTGTAGTTTCTAGAAAAAAGCCACTAAGTCACAGTAAAACCAACTGTGAGGACAGAAGTGGAAGATGACCTCAAGGATAAATTTTCATCACTTTTTAAAAATTCTTTCTAATTGACATGATATTAAGACAAGTTCTGACTGGTAATGTTCTAGAGAAAATGGATGAAGTCTTTATTAACAGACAATCACCTTAAAACTGTTTTTTTTAGAAACAGATTAGACATATTATTTGATACAATCTAAGTTATCTGAAGAATCATCAATTCACGAACCTGTTCTTTTTTATTTTTTGTATTTTA